CTCCTCTGGCCTTGGGTGAGGTCATAGAGACTGGAGTGAATTAGTACTTAACATGTTGAGCAGTCGGTTTACCAAGCTTTATTAGTGAATCTGTGTAACCACTAGCAACCTCAGGGTTAATATCCTCAATTTGCAGAGGAGGATGCTGAAGTTCTAAAGGCAGTGACTTAGATCAGGTCCTTTCATTGCTAATGGTTATTCACTGGGGTGAACCCTACGTTCTTACTGCTTTGACTCAAAATCCTGTTATCAGGACAGGATGTGTTCCTCTATAGTCAGAGATCGCTATAGAACACAAGGGTCTGTAGGGACTCAGAAGAATGCAGGTCGCCCTCCCTTGGAAGGGTCTAGCAAGGCCACAGTGACCGTCTCATCAGTATCTTTGGGACTGTGGTGTCTTAACTGGATGGGGATTCCCCTCCGCCTCTTAGGAAAAAGGCAATGGTGGGACGGGAGGATGTACAGAAATGCCTTTTCCCCTCACAGCCTCCATCTATTTTCCCTTTTCATTCTCTACATGTTCCAGCTCTGAAGTGAGAGAGAACATGCTCATCAATGAAGAAATGCCACTGAGAAGGCCAGGCCAGAATCACTTGGCCTCAGAGATTTCAGTTGACCCCTTGGGACTTGTGTGGTCCCAAGGGTCTTGGGGAGTCATCACACCCCCCACTGGGTCTTCTGCTTGTCAACACAGCCCAGGGACAGTGTTGAAAGCTTGGAACCTGTAAGAAAAACATTCTACACATTGCTGATTGCAGCCAGGAACATTCTACTTCAATAATTTCTGGTGGGTGATATGGGAAGAATAGCAAGAACTCTGTCCTTGGAGGTTGTTGAAAGTATTAAATGGAAAGATATAAAACTGGGGCTCCTGCCCCTCCCCTTGTTGAACATTGTTGGGCCTATTCTGATTTTTCCCTTGCCCTGGTTACATCCTCAGCACCCTTATTGTGTAACTGGCACCCCGCTATTAAACAGGAGCTCCTCAGAGGAAGGGCTAACTGTGGTTCCTACCCCCTGGTCCAGTTGGGAGAGGTCGCCTGTGAGATCCCCAGGGTCTCCATATACCCAGAGAGAACAAGTATCAACAAAGGACTACCTACAGGAAAAGGCAAGGGCCAGTGGCTTGCTACTTCTTGCCCTGGGAATACTAACACTTCTATGTTTTGATGGTCTTACAGGTCTCAGCGAGGCTGGTGACGCTCCAGGATGGGAGACAAGCCAATTTGGGAGCAGATTGGATCCAGCTTCATTCAACATTACTACCAGTTATTTGATAATGATAGAACCCAACTAGGTGCAATTTATGTAAGTCTCCCACTCTAGAGGCAGAGTAGGACCCTAGGGGATCAATTCAGATGTTGGGTCAGTGTGTCCAATACTCAGGGTTTGGCAGCCCATTTTGTATTGCCTTCAACTCTCCATATGTGTTTCTGTACACAGTACTAGCTCTTTGGTCCATGCATTTCCTTCTATTTCCCACAAGAGTAGGAATCATGATATCCTGGACAAGGAGTTTGGGCTTTGCCATTCCATGTGGTTAGCACTTTTTCAGGTCACGTGGTCCTGGGTGTACCTCACCTTCAGATTAAGTAGAAGTAGGCGGAAGCTAGGATTCAGTATCCTCTGGAGGCAGCAGCCATGAGCATCTTCAGTGCAAAGCTGAGTTCTGGAAGCCACATATCCAGCTTCCACTTGAGGCCAAACACCTGAATGCTCATGGGGAGCAAATGAAGTTAACCCAAGGAGCAGGTAAAACCCTTCTAGGCAGGCATTACTTGCTGTTTTAATAATACTCATTTATACATGTACTTGACTCTGCCTGAGATTCAGTCACAGAAATGTAATTAATCAGATCTACCCAGGATAGGGATGACAGGGGTAGCCTTAGAGCCTGGCTGTAATCAGCAGTTATCTGTATCTATCTCAGAAATTTTGGAAAAAATAATCTTAAAAGTGGAAGACGAAGCGGGCATGGTGGTGCACACCTTTAATCTCAGCACTCAGGAGGCTAAGGCAGGCAGATCTCTGTGGGTTCAAGGCTAGCCTGGTCTATACAGCCAGTTCCAGGCCAGCTGGGGCTACAGGAAGACCCCAGAGTGGAAGATGAAATCTAGCATAGATGACATTGTTGTTATGAGTTAGAGGGATTGATCCCAAGGCCTCATACATGTAAGGCAGGTATTCTCCCACTGAGCTATACCCCCTGTCCCTCTTACTGTTTTGCCCAGGCTGGCCTCAGACTTCTGCCTCAGCCTCCCAAATGGCTGAGATTACAGGTCATTGTCATGTAATGAAAACAGATCTGACCCAGAAAAGGTAGTTTTGTTTTTTGAGACAGAGTCTCACCATGTGCTCTGGCTGGCCTCGAACTCACAGAGATCCATCTGCAACTTTGCCTCCCAAGTCCTAGGATTAAAGGTGAAAGGTGTGTGTCACCATGGCCCAGCCCTATTTAGCAAGATCTTTTCTTTTTTTGCTTTTGTTTGAGACAGGGTCTTGCTGTAGCTCCAACTGACCTAGAACTCATAGTATAGATCAGGCTGGCCTTGATCTCAACCCCCCCCCCCCCCCCAGCCTCCCCAAGACAGGATTTCACTGTATAGTTCTGGTTGGCTTCAAGTTCTTCTATCATCCTGTCATAGTCACCTGAGTTCTGAGATTAAATGGTGCATGTTACCACACTTGATTCCTACAGAAGTCTTTGAGTTCTAACCCTAAAGACTATGGAAGGAAGATTTGGAGGCATTGAAGGAGAACTTGTTGGAGCATGGGGTAGTGTCCAAGACTATGCCTTGGAAAGCCTTGTTATCCTCCACCCTTTCCAGACCTCATGGATGTCTAGAAGACTGCTTAGGCCTTGGTGGAACTCAGCCACAGCCTTGGAGGTTGTAATGAACATGGAATTTTTCCAAGTTATTTCTAATAACATCTCTGAGCCTGGTGCTTACTGCTACCTTGCAGGAGGGCTTTTCTTTGAGCCCTGGCCATGTTTAGTCTTCCTGGGGCCCATTAATATCAGAGGCCATATGACTTAACCGAAAAGGTAAAATGGACGTAAATATATTTTGGTAGTCTTTTAAGAGCCATGAAACAACAGGGTATAATTTAAAATTTTACTGCCAGCAGAAATTTGTGTTTACCCTTAGTTTTCCTCTGTTTATAGACAAGGAAACAGGTGTAGACTCATTTCCTTAAGAAGGACCCTTTTCAGGATTTTTTCAGGGCCTTAGAGATGGTCCTTGTGCTGAAGCCCTTACTCTAGGTTTCCTGTACTCTTTTCAGATTGATGCATCATGCCTTACGTGGGAAGGACAGCAGTTCCAGGGGAAAGCTGCCATTGTGGAAAAGTTGTCTGTAAGTAAGGGCCAGAGCTGGGGTACAGGCAGCTTCTAGTTTCTTTCATGCCCCTTCTGGCCTCAGCCCACTTCTCACTTTTTCTCTTGCAGAGCCTTCCGTTCCAGAAAATTCAGCATAGCATCACAGCCCAGGACCATCAACCTACGCCAGATAGCTGTATCATCAGCATGGTTGTAGGCCAGCTCAAGGTAGTAATGCTGCTGTGTTGTTATAGAGAAGTGACTAGGCCAAGCAGAGTCCTAGGGCCCCTGCCTTCCCTGTGGTTGTGACCTGCTTATTGAGGGACATCCAAAGTGACTGTGTAGACCTATATAGTTAAATATAGCCTGAGCCATTTGCACCTGACTTCTCTTCCCCTCTCCTCCTCTTTTCACAGTGCTGGGTATTGAGCTTAGGGCCTATCACATGCTATGCAATACTCTGAGACTGAGCTATAGACCCTTGGCACTACATTTTTAACAATTTTTAATTTTTCTGAGACAGAGCCTCACTGTGTAGCCCTAACTGGCCTGGAACTGGCTATGTAAACCAGACAGAGCTCCTCCTGCCTCTGCCTCCTTGAGTGCTGGGATTAAAGGAATACACTGCCACACCCAGCAATATTTGTATTTTGCTTTTGTTTTTTGTTTGTTTTAAATATTTTGTTTCGTTTTTTTTTTATTTTAATTTTTTTTATTTTTATGTGTATGTGCATTTTGCCTGCAAGTAGGTACGTGCACCCATGTCATGCAATGCCTGTGGAGAACAGAAGGGGCTGTTGGATCCCCTGGAACTGGAGTTACAGGCAGTTGTTTGCTGCCATGTGGGTGCTGGGATTCGAACCTGGGTCCTCTGCAAGAACAGCCAATGTTCTTAACTGCTGAGCCATCTCTCCAGCCCTGTATTTTATTATTTTTTCTGGGCGTGGTGGCTCACACCTTTAGTCCCAGCACTTGAGAGGCAGAGGCAGGTGGATCTCTGTGAGTTCAAGGCCAGCCTGGTCTACAACTCAAGCTCTAGGACAGCTGGGGCTACAGGAAGACCCTGACTCAAAAAGACCAAAAAAAATTTTTTTTTTGTTTTAAAGTTTTAATTTATTTTTCTCCTTTTTGGCCTTTTTTTTAAAAAAAAAAAAAAAAAAAAAAGGTGTTTGAGTATGTATGCATGTATGTAAGTGTACTTGTGTTGTGCAGTTCCCATGGAGGTCAGAAGATGGTGTCAGATCCCCTGGAACTGAAGTTACAGATGGTTGTTAGACGCCATTTGGGTGCTGGGATTAGAACTCAGGTCCTCTGCAAGAGCAGCCAGTGCTCTTAATTGTTGAGCCATGTCTCCAGCCCGTTTTTTGTTTTTGTTTTTGTTTTTGAGTCAGGGTTTCCCTATAGTCCCAATTGGCCTGGAACTCAATATGTAGACCAGCTTGGCCTGCCTCTGCCTCCTGAGTATTGCACACCCAGCAATTTTTTCAAATTTTTATTTTTTTTTATTGTATGTGTGTGAGTGTTTTTTCTGGGTGGGTCTAAGTGTACCATGTGAATGCATTGCTCATAGAGGCCAGAAGTAGATGTTGGAGCTCTTAAAACTGGAGTTATAAATTGTTGTTAGCCACCATGTGAATGTTGGAAATTGAACTGTGATCCTCTGGAAGAGCAGCCATTGCTCTTAATCCTTGAGTCATCTCTCTAGCCTCAGACCCAGCAATTTTTAACTTACATAAATTAAAATTTAGTTCCTTAGTTGCACTAGGCCTATTTCAAGTGCTCATGGTCAGTGATTTGTGGTTACCTATTAGACAACACACATACAGAACATTTCTGTGATTGTAGAAAGTTCTATGGGAGAATGCTGGTCTAGAACCTTATGGAAAAGGGTCAAGATGGATAATAGGGTCAAGGTATACTGACTGATAAGCAGGGCTCCTACATTGCTCTGAGGTACAGGTAGACCTGTCAGCTGGGTGCTGAGACGCAGTCCTCTTCTGGAGCCCTTGCTGCCACTACCAAGGCTGGTCTTTATATGCCAAGCAAAGCATTTATTTGGAATCTGTCTTGCTGTACTTTCCTTTTCCCTTTTTACATTTTTTTTTAATTAAAAAATAGTGTGTGTGTGTGAGTACTTGTGTGTGCATGCCACAGCATACATGTGCAGTCTTCCCTTTTTTTTGTCTTTTTGAGACAGGGTCTCCCTATAGCCCCAGCTGGCCTGGATCTCACTATGTAGACCAGGCTGGACTTGAACTCACAGATCCACCTGCCTCTGCCTCCCGAGTGCTGGAATTAAAGGCATGCACCACCACGCCCGGCTGGTCTCCTTTTTTTGTGAGACAGTTTCACTGTGGTAGCTCTGACTGACCTGGATCTTCCTATGTAGAACCAGGCTGCCCTTGATCTCACAGAGATCTGTCTGCCTTTGCCTCCTGAGTACTGGGATAAAAGGTGTGCACCACCATGCCCTGTTGATTGTGTTGTTTTGTTTGTTGAGGCAGTCTCTTGTCCAGGCTGGCAGGCATCTGTCACCATACAATGTGAACTCAGTTTTGAGTCTTACATCATTTACTTAGTCAGAGTCAGTATTAGTAGTAAATTCTCTTGATTGAATTAACTGGCATTATTGAATACTAAGGTTGTTTATAGGGTGAGTTTTTTTGGGGGGCAGGGGAAGGATTTCCCCATAATTCTGGATGGTCTGGATCTTGCTATGTAGACCAGGCAGGCCTAGACCTCATAGATTTGCCTGCCTCCACTTCCAGAGTGCTGCGATTAAAGGCATGTACTACATGCTTAAAAAATTTAAAGACTCACTTAGTACTTATACTTAATTTACAGTGTCAAAGAACCACAAAGCAGGTGTTGGTAGCACACACCTTGAGGATCTCTGTGAATTCAAGGCCAGCCTGGTCTACATAGTGAGTTGCAGGCCAGCTGGGGCTACATAGTGAGATGATATCTCAAAAACAATAACAAAAAATTGAGCACATGTACTGAGAGACATTGGTGGGTTCAGACACAGGCATGTCCTCTCTGTTCTGTTGCCTAGTTAAATGGTACCTTGTGCTGCCTTTTCTTGTATACATGGCAGTTTCAGTGGACATCTGTTGACATTTACTTGTCCAGAAGTGTTTCATCCATATCACTTCACATTCACAAGTACCTATTCTGTACTGGAATTCATGTCTAGGACAGTAGGGGCCTGAAACCAAAGTCTATATTCTCTGCCTTGTTCTGTCACTATATACCCTTCCTGTTCCTGGCCCCTTTACTGAATCATTTTCTGTTTCCTCACAGGCGGATGAAGATCCCATCATGGGTTTCCACCAGATGTTTCTATTAAAGAACATCAATGATGCTTGGGTTTGCACCAATGACATGTTCAGGCTTGCTCTGCACAACTTCGGCTGACCTCTTCCTGGCCAGATACTCACGCTGTTTCCTCCTCCCTCCTTTTCCTAATACTATCACACTCCTCCAGATGCTCCAAATACCATACACAAATGAGCAAGGCCGAGGTGGGAGTGGGTGCAATGCACTTCTGCCACCACGGTGTTGTGCATGATGTTTGGATGCTAGACTAGTTGCATCTGACAGGAGAAGTTTGTGTTGTACCAGCGCATGCCTTGGAAAGACTTAAGTAATGCAAAAGATTGTCTTTGTTTTTGTTTTTTTGTTTTTTAATCTACTGACAAGTTGCTCTAGTAACCCAAAGAAGTGGAGAAAGCAGCTGCCTCACCGCCCAGATATTTGATTTGTTCAGATGTTTCAAATGCCTCATGATACAATAAAACCACAAAAATTTTCTTAACAGTTTAAATTGTTTTCATGAGTTTAATATATTTGGCTGGGCATCAATAACTATTCTGGCCCATTGTCTCTCTCATATATCACCCTCCCAATTCTGCCTCAACAGAACCTACTGCAAGGAGCAAATTGGCCTAAGTAGCACTTTCAACTAAGCTTCTCTCCAGCCTAGTAAGGCAGAGTTCTCTCCAGCCCATTTGGTCTTGGGAAAGCAGAGAGAGCTAGCCTGAAGCCTATCTCATACTGAAGGCTCATACTGAAGGCTCTTCAGTCAGTTCTAGCTGACACCTCCTGTGGCTTCTGCTCTGAGTAGATTCAGGTCTCTAGTGGAGAGAGAGTTGATTCTCAATCCTGTGGCAGCTAGAAAGGCCTTGACAAATAAGATTTCCCATGTTTAGACTCTGTGGGCCAAGGTCTCAGCAAGACTGGTAGTCCTGCTCTATTCCCAAAAGGATTAGGATCGCATTCAGAGTGCCCACATCCCCCAAACCAAACAGAGATTCTGTACCACCTGCTTGAACTCAGCCAGGCCCCATTTGGTTGGAGCACAAATTCTGCACTGTGGAAGAATTCACAGTGTGAGGGAGTCATGCTCTAGTTTTCACCCCTCAGACCTCTGCAGGGCACTTATGTATCATCTTCCCCCTTCCACACACTCATGCTGTCTTCAAATCCCAGGAAGTCTTAACTGTTAGGGCACTTTCTGCCCTGCTTCTTAGTTTGGGCACAAAGTGCTTGCCCAGTACAAATCCAGCTTTTCATCCTTGAGACCACTGGATGGTATAAAGCTGGTATCAAAATAGCAACTACAGAACTGAGCCCAGGGTTTGGGCTTTTGCCATTAGTGGTCTTAGGATTGGTCAGGCACCCCTGAAAAGGGGATATACCCTTTTCTCTCTTTCCCACACTGGGGGGAGAGCAAAGATTTCCTCAGACTTCACAGGTTGCCTGGTTACACTAAGCACAGTCCTGGATGATGTGCTGTTTAAAGAACAGCATACAGGAGGTTTCAGGGGGACTGATCTCTATGCTGCTGTGTATTGGGGGGTGGAGTAGGGGTGGGGGAGGGGTAGATGCCAGCTGCCTCTTAAACCACCCTGTATAAAATCTGCAATACAGCTTCTTCCATGTACCTGTGCCTGAAATGTCTGCAATAAAGAGGTGTTTGTAAACTATGGTTTCTTTCTTCCTAAACCTGAGGTTGCCATGTGGGACAAGGGAATGCTCGGGACAACACGTTGACAGTAATAATACTTTTTGGAGTAGGAACCAACACTTCCGCCCCTTGTCCTTGTATTTCCTGGGCTTTATGACTTGTCAGGTCTCTAGGTCTCTCTCCAAAGGGAAATGGACTTACACCAATTCATTTATTCAGTCTGAAAACTACCTGAGTAATGGAGTTGGTCTCGTTGTAGGACTATTCAGAATTCATTATAGAGTGGGCAGGGTCTGGGTCGGGTCCCCAGACACTGTAAGCCTTTAGGCAGCCCAGTGCTCCACGTGCACATTAGTTCTTGCTCAGTCTTGTGAAATTTACTCTGGGCTGGCCAGGAGCGAGCCGCTGAGGTAGGAGAGCTCGGCAGTCTCCCAGAGCCCGGAACCTTTCTTCTGCAGTCTTAGGTTCCGGGAGCGTAGGTCCGTGAGGGCCGGAAGTGGAGGCGGTTGGTGGGGTTGGCGGGGCTCAGAGACGCAGCACGGGCGGCGGTTTGCGACCTGTGGGTAGTCCTGTAGTGACCGGTGCCCTGCTGTCTAGCCGGATCGTGGCTAGCGGAAATTGAATCGTGCGCGACGGCAGCGAAACTAACGTACGAGCCGGACGCTCGTGGCTGGGCCCATGGCCTCCTGCGCGAGCATCGACATCGAGGACGCCACGCAGCACCTGCGGGACATCCTCAAGCTGGACCGGCCCGCAGGGGGTGAGCGGGGATGAAGGAGGTGGGCTCTTTGCTAGGAGGCCGACGTGTGGCGGGGGTCTGATTAGCCTTCGGGGGTCCTCGGGAAGGTTAGGGCTGACTCTGGATCCAGCTGGTTACGGAGGATGGGAATTGGAGTCAGATCCCTTAGTAATACCGAGGGAGTGGCGCAGACCCCGTAGTTGTTATCCTTCCCCAGCCTGTGCTAGACCGTTCCGCCTTGTCCTTGAGTGTTTTAGCTGAAGGTGAGGCCCCTGCTCGCAATCCACAAAGTCCTTCGGGTTTCCTGGCCCCAAAGATCCTAGTGTTCCTGGAACTGGCCCAGTGCTCCTACCCTTTCGCCATGGTTCAGAAGACGTGCGATGTCTGTCTATAGCGAGCCATGGGTCTAGAGTTAAGCGATATGCTGAAGAGTCTCTGGTCCCCCTCTGCATCTTGCGTTTCCCTCTGAAATGCAGATTTCAGGTCCGATGTTGCTCTGAAACAGATCTTCTGTCAAAGGGTGGCCAATCCCAATTCCGTGTTCTTTCTTACTGGGACGAAGGCAGATCACAGACTGCATGACTCTGATTGGATTAGGTTCCAAATATCAGCAAGCCCAGGATATGTTACCGTTCATTTGAATTTTACTTGGGCTCCTAGTACTACCTTATGGCTGCTCTTGCCAGACAGAGAGCTAACAAGGTTATAATATATTGTCCTCGTAAAAGAGGATTATTTTGGTGCTGTGATGGGAATGGTAAAGTGTGATGAGGGAGATGAGAGTGCAGGTCTGAGAAGAGACTAGGCTAGGTCTCATATGTAGACAGGAGCTTGGATGCTAGAAAAGAAACTCAAGCATGTATTATAAAAAGGAAATAGCATGTATGAAAGCATTAGATTTTTCCTGGCTGATTGAGAGATCTTTGAAAGTTGTAGTGTTTGACTGGTGACAGTAATGTGCGTGTACAGTAGCCACAGCTGAGAATTGACTCTTTCCTCATACTTTGTTACACCTACCTGGAGACCCAGACTGCCTGCTAAGCAGGTACCTGTGCTCACTTTGTGTGGGTTTAGCTAGCTTATATGCTGAGACAGTCTGTTTGCAGCCTAAGACCACTGGGCACTTTGCCCCATGCCTGGAGTATGTTTTCCCTTTACTCATGAGGTAGCTTTTGCCTCTGATGCCCATCGTCAGCTGAGCAGACTATACACTATAGGGATTTTTTTTTTTTTTTTGGTCTTTTTTTGAGACAGGGTCTCCCTATAGCCTCAGCTGTCCTGGAGCTCACTAAGTAGACCAGACTCGCCTTGAACTCACAGAGATCTGCCTGCCCCTGCCTCCCAAGTACTGGGATCAAAGGCGTGCGCCACCATGCCCGGCTCACTGTAAGGATTTTGTAGAGACTGGTATATGGCTAATTGTGTACAGCATGGGCCTACTGCTTATCTTCATGGTAGGTTTGGAAGGGAGAGTGGCCAGCTTATCCCTGAGCAGCTAAGGTAGGTCTGGTCCTAGTGAATTAGGGTGGAGGGGCTTTCCTTGTAATTCCTTTTTTTTTTATTGACTGAACTTGATTCTCTTGCTAAGTAGCTTTTGCTTGTCTCTTTTGGATTTATTAGACATAAAACTTTTTTGTGATACCAGGTGTGGTGGTGCATGCTTTTAATCCCAGCACTTAGTAGGCAGAGGCAAGTGGAACTCTGAAATTGAAGCCAGCCTGGTCTACATAGTAAGTTCCAGGCCAGCTGGGGCTACTGAAGACCCTGCCTAAAAAAACAAAAAGACTTTCGTGACTAGAAACTTGATATGTTCCTGAAGTCCCTTCCTGCTATCTTGGAATTTGGGCAGTGGTGTCTGAATTGATGAGAGTATTTGAAACCCAGCCAGAAGCCAGGCATGGTAGCACTCATCTGTAATCCCAACACTTGGGAGGCAGAGGCAGGATGATTGTTAGGTGAAAGCTACCCCAGGCTACATAGTGAAGCCCTGTCTAATTAAGCAAATAAATATGTGGTTGGGTATATAGCCCAATGGTAGAGCACTTGCCTAGCATGTGTGGGCCCTGAGTTCTATCCATACTACTACACCCCCCACCTCAAAGTCTGATTAGCATGCATGGGATGTTCAGGGTTCAGTCTCCAGCACTGAGAGGGAGTAGGGACCACCCATTGAAAGCCACTAAAATATTGTCATTCTTGATTCTATACCCCACCCTATGCCTGTAGCTTCTCTCTTTGTTCAGTTTCTCATGCTCATTTCCTCCTGTGTTTACCTGCCCAAGGTATCTCTTAGACAATTTTGTGTGTGTTAGGCCCCCTCCTTTCTTGCTCCCACATCTTATCTGTGCCTTCCTTGAGAGCCCTTCTTCTCCACAACCCTGTCATCTGTATTGGTCTGAGCCCTAGTATCTCACCCAGATTCTCAGCTATTCTGTATGCCTTAGAGCAGTCAGTTCACTGGCTGGAGATGACTATGTTACCTTTTTCTTTAAAATTTATAGGGCCAGACACAGCAGCATATACTTGTAATTCTAGTGCTTAGGAAGCAGGGGGATCCCAGGTTCAAGGCCATCTGAACTACATAGGAAGGCCCTATCTCACAAAAGGGAGTGAGCCTTTGTGACTCTCATTGCACATAAGTAGAGACTGAGCAACTCCGCTTCCTATCTAGTACTGGCATTCTTGTTTGCTCTTCATCCTTCCCATGTTTTGTTTTGAGATAGGGTCCCACTATGTAGCCTACACTAGCCAGGAACTCCCTATATAGCCCAGCATGGTGCCAAATTCACAATCTTCCTGCCTCAGCCTCCCAAGAGCTGGGATTACAGGCATCTACCACCATACCCAGCATTTCCCATGTTTTTATGTTATGAGTACAGTGGCTATGTGTCATGAGCATCCTTATGCCCTCCTTCAAGTCAGAGTTCCTCTTTGCTGTTCTAGTCTAAGTATTACCTGGCTTTAAAAGTTTTGAGTTTTTTGTGTGTGTTGTTTGTTGTGTTGTATTTTTTTGCAACACTGAGGATCAAACACGGGGCCTCACACATGGTAAGCAAGCAGTCAAACACTCTTATCACTGAGCTATGTCCCTGTCCCATCAGAGGGTCTTTGATGGTTTATACCCCTCTCCCAGGTTGAAGAGCCTCATGCTTATCCTTAGTTTGATATATACCCACACTTACAGAATGAGGAATGCCTTTAATCCCAGCACTTGGAAGGCAGAGGCAGGCGGATCTCTGTGAGTTTGTGGCTAGCCTGGTCTATATAGCGAATTCCAAGCCAACTGGGGCTATAGGGAGACCCTGTCTCAAAAAGACCAAAAAAAAAAAAAATTTAATAATAAAATAATAGTGAATAGAATGAGGGATAAAAAACAAAACAAAAGAATGAGGAACAAACAAAGGGGCCCTCCTCTCTATGGACATGATGTGCTCAGTTGAGAGTTCTTAGAGTACCTTTTGATCTGGAGCTGCAGGAGAAGCTAGTGGCAAGTAGAGCAACCTTGTCAGGGTGCCCCTTTCTGTTCCCTAGGCCCCAGTGCAGAGAACCAGAGGCCATCCAGTGCCTACAATGGGGACCTCAATGGGCTCCTGGTCCCAGACCCCCTCAGCTCAGGTGATGGAACCTCAACAAGCAAATCTGGTATACGGACTATGCCACCCATTAACCTGCAGGAAAAGCAGGTCATGTGAGTACCTGGAAAATAGTAATAGTGGTAATGGTATCTTTAGGGCTTTTGCTCTAGCTAAAGGCATGAGATTAGGGTCAAGAGGAACCAGGAGCCTCTGTTTCTTCCCTTCTGGATGATCTGGGGCAGAGCACTTTGACCACATTGAGTTTCTAGTAGGGCAAGAGGTAAGGACAAGCTAAAGGCTTGGCCTGGATGCCTAGTGT